AAATTACCCACAGTGCCCAGGGATGTGCAGGTTAGGGTGGATTGGCCATGCTAAATTACCCATAGTGCCCAGGGATGTGCAGGTTAGGGTGGATTAGCCATGGGAAATGCAGGGTTACAGGGATAGTCTGGGGGACCTGGACCAGGGTAGAGTATTCTTTGGAGGGTCGGTGTGGACTTGATGGCCTCTTTTCGCACTGTGTCTAACTACTATCTCTAAAATAGCACCTTCAGAAGAACTACACCCCATCAGTACTTCACTGAACTGTTGGCTGGAGTGACTGACTTCCCTGTTGCTGCGATTTCCACCAATTCAGTACATTTAGATAAGAAGAATCAGGAAAAGAATCCAAACGTAAATTCTACTTCCTGTTGCCTGTAATCGAGGCTGAGTTAAACAGGAAAATTATCGCTGTTCTTTTTCTTCGTTCTCACCAATCAGATTTTTGTCCAACCGGCCAATGTCTCTGTGACCAAGATGGATGTCAACAACCTAGCCATGGTCATGGCCCCCAACTGTCTCCGCTGTCAATCAGACAACCCCCGGATCATATTCGAGAACACACGCAAAGAGATGTCCTTTATCCGAGTACTAATCCAACACCTGGACACCAGCTTCATGAAAGATGTGCTATAGCAAGGAGAGTTTAAAGAAAACTAGAAAAAAGGAACAGAAACAAACAGAAAGTGCAAAGATAAGCCTTGTACAAAAAAAAGTAATGGGTTTGTGTTTGCATTTGTTTATACCAATTTAAGATCTTTTTGCCAGTCAGTCGCTGGTTGATGTTGTCTACATTATAAAAAAAAGGGAAAAAAACAAGAAAAAAGTATTATATGTAAATTTTGATGCTGGTTTTGATGCTTTTTTTTGTCTGCTATGTATGATGCTCCCATCCAGGTCCATCCCACCTATGGCACAGTTTACTAATAGTTTATTTTTTCGTTTAGCATGCATACTTGGGTTTTTAAACCTCTTTATAAAGTAACTTTATTTTTATAGCATTTAATTATACAGGGCTAAAAAAAAAGACACCCTTTATGTGGGCAAGACGCCCTCATACTGTTCATTTCTTCTCTCACTTCTTGCCATCTCAACAGTACTTTCCTGTGAATTTTAACCTAGTGTATTCCAAACTTTACATCATTTTATTTTTGCGTAAAAGGAATTCACTCTATCTGCAGTTTGCTTCCTTTTTTTAGAAAGAATGGTTCTGCTGCATTCTTTTCTCCCCTTCTGAATGATCCATGTCTTTTTTTTAATTCACTTCACTTCCTTCTCGAGTTTGTTGGGCAGTGTAGAATTGCCCCACCTGGTGCTAACTCTCATCGATGTAAGCGCTTTAATCCAGTTGCCTTGTTCAGGATTTAAAAGGTTAATCCTTTTCAGCAAGACTGCAAGTTTTTACACACAAGGATGAGAGTCAACGCTAGTGGGAAGACCCAGAATCTGACTTGGTGAAGGTGGATGTTTAACCCATTTGCTTGCTGCAGCCGAGTAGTTTATAATGAACTCAATTTTTAAATGATAATGTTGAACTTCAGTCTTCTCCCTGCATCGAATAACAATCACCACTTCTCTGAAAGGATTTGAAATGTGAACTGCGCATGAACTCAAGAACTTGCCTGAACCATTCTGGATCACTGTCTAATTTGGAATGAACCCTCGAGTAGCCAACATGCTGAGTTGCCTCCAGCAGCCGATAATGAGAATTAAGAACAGATAGGTTGGCTGTGATAGCTGGTAAAAGTACAAATAGACTTGGATGGACAAAGGGCAAGCTCAGAGCTTTCATGGAGACTAAACACATATTCCAAGATCCTCTGTCAGAGGATGACTGCTCGACATCTGAAACATAATAAGGTGTGTGTGTGTGTGTGTGTGAGAGAGCGAGAGAGAGAGTAAAGGAAGAACTTATTCCTGATATTGGAGAATGCCCCCACCTATTAGAGAGTAATGTGCAATGCTCGCCACTCATATTTGCTTGTTCCCTGATTGATACGTAATCTCACTCTCTGCAGAGTTGAAGTCGCTACTGGTCAGTCACACTCTGTCCTGTTTCCATATTTAGCCCAGTTCCTGTGTTCCCTTCCTCAGACAAGCTGCAGGCTTTTAAAACCCAAGATGAGATTACATAACTACATTTTCTTTTAATCTTTGCTTTCAAGCTGCTACCCTCCATTATCACCGAGATTTTCATTTTTTTACGATATTTTTCTTGCCCCCCCTTCTGTCCTTTATCTGCCATGCCCCACCCTTCCCCTGTCTGCCCATCCCTTCCCCACACCCTCTTCCCCACCCCTCCATGCCCCTTGCCCCACCCATCTCTGCACCCCCACACCCTTCCACTTCTCCCTCTTTCTCCCCATTTCCCACCCACTCTTTACCCTCTCTTCCATGCTCCCCAGTCCTAATTCCCCATCTCCCCTTTGTCCTTCCCCCTCCTTCCTCCCCCCAACCCCCTCCTCATGCCTCACTTCTGGTAAAGATGGATGGTAGCTGTGCTGTGAAGAAATGGTTTCCAGGCAGGGGCTGTGATAGACCCTGTTTTTCAGTGTGGTAATGGGTGCTAAAATCGGCTTCCAGTTTCTACGGAGCTAATATTGAACTGAGTCAGCTCGGCAGACATATGATTCATTGTGAAAGCCAGTGACATTTTATTGGAGTTGATTTATTCTATTCAGTTTTGCTTTCAGTGCACAGTCCAGGGTTGGTAACTGGTCTCTTCACAAGAGCCTTGTTGCTGCTTAGGCAACCAACTCCCAGCAACTGATGATGACACTGAAACTTGCGGACCTTACCTTAAAAAGCCTTATGCAGCAGGCACACCGTTACTGGGCACACTCGTTATACCTTCTAAAATTGTGTAACTGACACCACCGTTTTACTGTCTAAATAAATCCTACTCACTCTCGATTTATAATGGTCTAGTGTATTTAGGTTCTGACTGCATCTGTTCTCCTGAGTGAATGTTTGTTTTAAGACTGAAGAGTTTCCTCCCAATGAGGAAAGGGCTCTGTAACCACCCAGCTCAATCCATTTGTCTCCTAGCTGGCCCCTCTATTCGTGGCATCATGAGCTTCACCAGGTTGTCTTCGTCCTTTCAAACCTTCCTTTTCACACTTCACTTTCTGTTGTCTTTTTCAGCACCTTCTCCTTATCCTGATTTCAGAGCTGTAAACAGCAGGGTGATCCTTTTCCAACTAGGCTCTGATGTGAATTCAAATGAGGAGTCTTTCTTTTTTTAACCACTCTGGTTCTGGTGCCTTTGAGTCTCGTTACTGTCCACGACACTCGTATCAGAAAGTTGTACGTTATATCAGATATTGCTTTGTTGATGTATGTTTAATGCATGTTTAACGGTGAAAATCAGCTTCCAGCCTACTCCAGCAATCATGTTGAATTATTCCTGATGGCCTGTCTGGCCCTGTCAACAGCTCCACTCTATCATCACATCATGTTACCCCCTCTTCATATAATGTGGCTTTGTGAGGACCTGATATAAGTGATTATATCATATAGTTATATCATGTAGGATTATATCATGTATCATAGAATCTTACTACAAAAGTTGGCCTTTCAACGTGCTTGTGCCAGCTGTCTTTCATTAGAAGAAAGCAACAAAATAATGGTTTAGTTGGCAGCTTCAGAAAATGTTACCTGGGCAAGCTCAGAGCTTTCATGGAGACACAATGGTACAATCCTGCACTTTCCCCTGTATCTTCCATGATGAATCATTATTTCTGAGAGTCCTGCCATTGTCAAGTATCCCAAAGTGAATAAGTGCTCCTGTAAAATTTGCTGCTGGAACTGCTGACTTGCTCGTGGCAGTTACAAATCTGGGATCTGCAGTAGTGTCCGTGCCGGTTTCACAATGTTATTAAGCAGGGAGCTCGGTCTCTCTCCTGGTCCTAGACCACAGCAATCAGACTGTTCACTTTTGGAAATGAGCGGTAGTGTTTGCAAACCTGATCAAAATCAAATTTGCCGTTTCCAAACACACTGAAGCTTTGATGGAAAATCCTTTAGAAACCCAACCTGTTGTCCTAATTGTTTAGACTGGGACATGATATTGTTTAGACTTTCTTTCGCTCTCTTTCTCTGTACAGTCCTCTCCAAACTCCCCCCTCCCTCATACACTCTTGAATTCCTGCAAAGGGTATTAAATCCTTCCCTCTTGTTTTCGTTTGGCACTGTAAGCCATTCTTAGTCCTACACTAAATGTATAAGAACCTACCATTCACTGAAAAGATGTTTTCTGTGCATTATGCCTAGCCTTCTGATTCCCATAGCAAGGGATTTTGTTTCTTAAAATATATATTTCCCACCAGCTATACATCGCAACACTGATGAGCTAAGCCTGTGGCAGCCTTAGTGTAACATCTTGAAGAAAGATACTGTTGTAATCCATGCGCTGGTTTGATTCACTCGTTCCACACTTCAGCTTCTCCTTTGACGAATTCACAGTGTCATTTTTCACAATATCAAGGAGCATCCAACTGGATGTAACACCGGCTGCAAGGCTAACAGCAAAATGTTATTCACAACCATTAATAAGAGATTAAGACATAATTATTACAAGCCTGGATAGTGTGGCAATAAAATGGAACCCCATTATGCTCACTCCTTGTATTCATCAAAAAAGTTACAAGTCTCAGCAAAACGTTTTGGCTGAGACATCACTTTAACATCTATTTCAGATGCTGACTTCAGCTTTATTTTCATCGTTTGGATATTTATCGGCATTGACTCCCATGTCCAGGGTATCAGTGCAACACATAACAGCAATAGTCAGATCTCAATAAATCCACTAATCCCCATTGTGTCTAGGAGGTTCCTTGTTAAATTAAATGTGGGAGGTCGCACTGTGCGTGTGGCTTTTTTCTTAAAACATGCCTGACAGTAATTACAGTGTAAATCTCACTACAGGACCGAGACCATAATTGGTTAAAGCTTTTCTCTTCCAGGTGACAGTCTGGACCTTTGAATAAGATTATTTTCGTGTAATTACTCTCACGTCCCTACAAACCTCTGTTAATGTGTGCCTGATGTGAACGTACAATGAAAACCTTGTCTCAGCTGAGAGTGCTAGAGGTGCCTTCAGGAACACACCAGCCAGGATTCCAGTATATTTCCTACACAGGAAACACTGAACAAAACTGAAACCTTCATAAGAAAGGCCCTCAGAGCAGAACAAAACAGGGTTCTCAGTCACTACTTTGCATTGGTTTTCTCAATCAGAGTAGGTTAGAAATAGTGATCCCAACACTGATTGCTGGACTCTGGGAGACAGCCCTTCTCAATTATCCTCTCTTACCCTTTTATTTATTTCATATGATTGGATGTTACTAGCAAAGCCAGTTTTTGTTACCCATCCCTAATTGGCCAGAAAGCAGTTACAAATCAACCACATTGCTTTGAGTGTGGAGTCAGTTGTCAGTCAGACCAGGTGAGGACGGCAGATTTCCTTCCCTAACAGACATTAATTAACTAAATTTTTTTTTTTAACAGCAATCGATGGTAGTTGATTTTATTGTCACGTGTACCAAAATACAGTGAAAAGCTTTGTTTATGAGTGGTACAGGCAGATCACGGCAAGCAAAGGACGTACAGATCAAAAAGATCTAGAGGCATACAGGTTACATTGCGGGTTACATCATTTGAGGCTAGAGTCCATTCATGGCCTC